TAATCAGGCAATTAAAACCCGCTTTGACAGAGCTAAAAATGCTTTGACAGGGCTGAGCAACTCAGTACTTTGGTCACACATCCAGGTCTGATCACTCTCCAGCAATGAGATACCGTCCCACGTTCATGCTTTTTATTGCCAGGGATCCTGAGAATATGTCTCTAAAGAAAATGCAGCCACAATTTCTCTCTTTCCGCTTCCAATGGAAGTGTTTTATTGCCAGTCTGTAGGCCAGTTCTGGCAATTTGTCCGCTGTCTTTATAAAATGATACAGAAAAGGATGTACGATTCACGGGACCAGAGAAAGGAAATCCTTTGGCAGCCTCTCAGGGCATCTGCCCAAAACAGGGACTTCTGGATTCCAGTCCTGCTCCTTGTACTGGGTTTTGTCAAGCAGTTTCCGAGTGCAAGGACACATTCCCTTTACAAGCTTCCAGCAGGAAGCGTGATTTGACAGCAACTACTACAGCAGCTCAAGTCTCTCTGAATCCAGGCCGCCATTATCCATTCCACCCCCTCTCATACGCTGTCCCCAGTACTTTTGTAACGGGGAGCTGGTTTCATTGATTCACATCTATACATACATGTGCGATTTTTTTGGCTGTTTTAATTTCTAACTGAGCCACTTCTAATTTCTCACCCTCCTGTCACACACGTGCTACTGGCATGAAAGAAAGGGCATGAGAATGCACAGCTCCCAGGAGCATCATCTGACAACGTCCCTGTAGGTGGTACTGCCTGGTTAACTAGTTTAGCTAGTCTGCTGACTTTCAACAGTTTGTGCTATTTCTGGATCTCGTGCAATTCTCTGCATTCGTTACAGAGCCTAGATGGCTAATTTAAGGCTCAGTATTTTACTGTACAGATCTGAATACCTGAAAGGTTATTTTTACAGCACTACACTCTTTTGAACCTAGGTTGTAGCCTCTGAATCAGGGTTAGAGCGAGTTAGAGTTCACTGTTTCAAACCAGAACCTACAACCTCAGGCAAATCACCTAAAACCACTTAACAGTAAAACCACATATGAAAAAAGCATGGCTTACGGGTATGGCTGCTTAAAAAGGAGAAGCATTATAAATTTATTTTCAGAAGAAAACTGTAAATGAAAAGTTACTTGCAACGGACAGCTATGAAACGGGAGCTGGAAAAGTTCCTGTGCAATGATATTACTTTAATTTACTTTTAAACTAAGGTGGACATATAAATAGGTAACGAATAAAGAGAAACGTATTACTAAAACTTAAATATGTTTAGTATTTTGCTGTTTCTGTGCACGTTTATATATATAAAATTAGGTATTTTATATTAAGATTTTCAAGTGGGTACTAAGATTTTTATGGAACACTCCTAGCTAATAATACTGTTCCTCTGTGGGAGGAATTTATAAGTCAAACTAGTGGTAAAAATTAACATTACCCATTCAAGATTAAAGCACACCCCCATGTATTTAATTGTGTGTGTAAGAAAAAGAACATGATATATCCAAGGGCACCATCTGCTGACAGGTTCAGGGAGCCAAATGCTTTCATGGATTTTCAGATATAGGGAAAAATACTGTACATTCAGACCTCACATATATTAGAAAATATTCATATTGGTCTTGGCTGGATTTTAAGGAGAGCTCAGACTTGGTATTGCTACAAATTAGGGTTTTTTGAGTGAACTTTTGGCCCGATTCTTTTCCTTCTGCAAGTACAAGTTATTTTGCTAGAAACTGTCTGGAAAGTGCCCTCAGTGGGACAAGAGAGTAAAGTACAGTAAATAAAGAATATTATGCAATGTTGAATCAAAGCAAAATTCCTCGATCATTTTTTTCCTCATTTTGTTTCAAAGCTTCGTTATCCTGATTTTTAGGTGGAAAAGAGGAGACCAAATAACTGCAGAAAACCAGGCAGTATGACCAACGATATGCTGCAAGTCATCATTCAATAGCATTTATTTTTCTTCAGGCTGATAACTTTCTTTTATGGCATACAATACATGCATTTGCAGTGGAAGTAATTTGTATCAATTTACCATCAAAACGTGCAAGGAGGGAAAATGCCAGTGTGACTTTAAACACCAGATTAGCAGGGAGCAGCTTGCAGTACAGGATATTCTGCTGGGAACCAGGAATTCATCAGAGCTCAGACGAAACTTAGTTATCACAAAGCTACCCAAAGCTGCAGGTTTAATAGTTACCACATTATCACAATTTACAGCTGGTCTGGACATCAGTGGGAAGGTCGTAATTATCCGCTGATTATCTTCTTGTATTATTGCAGTTTTCTTAACTTACAGAAGAGAACAAGAGCTGGTTTTACAAAAAGCCGTCACTTACACAGCTACCACATAATTTAGTTGCAGCATACAGCTTTTCTCTGCTGCCAGGAATTTGATGGATTTTGAGTAAGGTTTTATTGAGCACAGCGATTGCTGCCTATCCGAGGGGTGCCTCTGCAGCAGATGGCATGTCCCATTACCCTGCCTTGTTTTCACCTGTCTGTCCTTGCACTTTCAGCTCTTTTATACAGAATTCTGTGGCAGAAAAAACAAAGCCATCTAAAGAAACGACTAAAAGAAACAAAGAAGTGTATTTTTTGTGATGGTGAGATGCTCCAATTCAAAACACTTGTACACTCATGTTACGCAAAAAAAGATTTTTTAATGACAAAATAATTTGAATGATATACACTAAAAAGAAAATTAATTTCAAGTGCGTTTATTTTGAAATAAACAAGATATATTATGCATATATTCATATTTATATTAAATAAGTTACTATTAAATATGAGAAAAAATACTCTTAAAAACTAATCTGACACTTTCACATTCTATTTTATATTATGTGACTAGTTAGGAAATATATAGAAAAATGATAAAATTGTCTCAAGCCAGCCATAAAAGCAAAGTGCACTATTGCCTAGGGGAGTGGAGGAGCAAAATGATGATGGTGCTGCTGCTGCTTCCTCCAAGGGGAGGATCACTCCACAAGGGGAGTGGGCAGTAGTGAGTGAAGAGGAAGGAAGGGAACCCCTTCAATAACTCCCTGTCCTTTCTTCCCTCTTTTTGTCCTTCATCACTGAAGTAGCAAATTGGGTTTTGCATATGCTGACAAGAAGCAGTGAGACAGTTCTGTGTACCAAGACGATACATTAAATACAATTAATTCCCTAAATGATCACACAGGGATTGCAGCTTATCCATGTTCTGTTGTGTCTTTATACCAATTTATTTGATTTTTCTTGTTGTTGGTAGTTTAAGGATATGAAATATTAACTAAAGTAGCATCCTTCAAAAGTGTTCTGAACTGGCTTTTTCTCAGATAAAAGACACACCTAGCATATTTTTTTCCTAAGATTCCCAGAGTGGAATTTCTTAAAAAACATCTTCCTTTTCATTTTGTTTGGATTTTTTAGCAGAGATAAAACTTACTATAAATTAAATATTTCTAAACTTAGGTGTACTTACACAGGTGCTATACATCTTTTTTATTCACATGTGATGTAAGATGGTATTTGAGCAACATGTGCACTAAATATAATTTTGAGAAATTTGCTTACAGGTATTTGGAGTAATAAAAGATTTAAAACCATTATTCTGGTTCTGTTTTAACTTTCAGACTCCACCAAATATTTGCCTTTCCAATAAAAATTTACTGACATTAGTTTTAGTGTGTGTGTGTGTGTATACAGCTAGAAATATTTCAAGGCACAATTGTTCCGAAATAGATACAGACTTATTTAATGTCCAGTGAACCTTTTCAAGAAGAATATAACAAATATGTGTTTGTGTTTGTTTGGGTTTAATTCACTCTACCTACCAATCATCCTGAAAGGGAGCAAGGAAAAATGCTGCTGCTGAATAGCAAAGGAAAAATTTAGAGAATATGGAAACCAAGCATAACAGTGTCCTTACTGCTGTTTCAGTAACATCTAAACCCACAGGGCGTGAAGGGGCATAGCGGATACTGATTGCCTATAGTTTCCATAACCTTTGTAAGGCCTAATTTATGTCTAATATTTGATGTGTAATATTCAAATAATATTAGTGAGTGTTGCTCTGTACTCCTGCATGCATTCATGTTTTGTTTTGCTTTTTTGTCTGACACAAACACAAGTTATATATCTATTTTTCAGATACTGCATTCCAGAGTAGCAAATTAAACAACTGTAATTTCTACTCAGTGCCACATCTTACTTCATATAAAAGCACACCATTCACAAGAAACACATGAAGTTTTACTCTACCAGAAATATCAGTGAATTTATATGTATGGCAATAACATTTATAATAAATATGACAAATTGTGTGTTACTTAATGTGAATTTGAACAATTTGACTTTTCTTCAACATACTGCTGTTGAATACTACAGTACAACTGTACTATTTTTTTTAAAGGATAAATTAACAGACACAATAGTAAGACTTAGAGAATCTGAACATTATAGTCCATACAGTACCTTACCTAGGTAAATACCTGTAATTCACATTATAACCATAACAGCTTTACTCTTTTTAAAGCAGTAGCTTCGTTAGCTTCTAAGAATTTAATTTGTACATTCAACTTGTATACAATTGTTATGCTACTTAGTGTATTCTCATTCTCAATTAAGCACAAACTTTTAATAGTGCTCTTCTGAATGCAAATTCACAGTCTAAGCTGATGTGGGGCAGTTTCTCTTCATTGTCAGAACATCCGCCTACCCAGGTGTAAAACATATTTTTGTTCTCTTTTAAGTGACAAACACACCTCAAAATAATAAAAAATAATATTCAAAATGTAGTCTTAAAAAAAAAAAAAGACTTTTGCCAATCAGGTGACAGTTTGTTGTTTAAATAAAATACATACTTAAAAGTGGTTGTAAGAGTTGATGATCACTGCATTAAGTGGAAAAGAAGTCCTGTGTTTTCTACTGCAGTGGGAGGATTCACGATTCACCTGGGTTAGTTTGTTCTTCATGAGGAATCCATAGGAATAAATAGTTCTAGCCAGTGCAGATAATCTTTCTTTCTTCCTTTATCTCAGCATATCTCTTCTCCGAAATTGCTTCCACAGATCTCTCAGATGCTCACTGGTTACAGTCATCACACAAGAGTAATATTCCTTCCACCCATACTTTGGAGTCTCCTGTGAAAAGTGAAAACATACGATTTGAAAAATACATCATTCACTAAATTCCTTAATACTACATTAAATTTGACAGACTCATACACACTAGATGTAAGTTTTAATATTAAAATCATGAAAGATCAAATACTTCTATGGCTCAGAAGTACTTCTGTAAAACGAGGTTTATAAATCCATAGACAGGTTAACTATTCAAAATGCATCCTCACCTCACAGCACACAGTTAGCATTCAACAAATAGCCCATGTATATTAAAAGCTGCAAGAAAGGATTTCCTCTTTATTCAGGTATGCCCCGCTCTCTAGTTTTGTTTCTTGCTTCCTCATGTCAACACTGTACTAAAAAATTCACCTCTAACATCAAATAAAAAGCATAGAAAATTATTGATGTTCATGAAACTGAGGCATTAGCAAAAGCCAAATACAAAATAAGCAGATGATATGAAAGCTTCTTTAGACTAGGTTACCTTAATCCTAAACGGCATTGTAGTTCATTGACATTAGTAAGCGACCACTGAATGGAGAAGAGTATAATCCAAAAGCTGGCCTGGGGGATGCACTAGACTCTATGCTGTCTGTACTTATCACTGGCTCTCATTATTTCTGCTGCTATTCCTACTTGACAAGCTTATTTTGATGGTAAGTGCAGAAATATGGAGAAGGGGCTAAATATTACATCAACTGGGGAAAAAGGCTAACTAAGGAAAAGGAATTGTAATTGTAGATTAAGTCAGAAGCATTTACAAGTAATTTTGAATTGTAATCCCATCTAAGAAATTAAGTCCAGTATCTGGAGGTAAATGGTTACAGTGTGAAGGTGAGAGATTGTCTGATAGCTTGTTTTGGTTGAACTGATTGAAGAAGTTAAAAATATTGTGACATTGCAGTATATTAAAACCAACCATGAGAGAGTGATTATTTATTATCATTTATTCTTATTATTCGTCTTGTATAATTAAAAAGCATAGAACATTATGCAGAAGCTGTAAATATTCAGAAAACAATCTAATCCATAGCAGTATATAATCCAGACTTTAAGTGAAATATTAGAAACAATACTTACATGAACGTATAATTTAGTTGAGATTTAGGGTCAATCTTACAAAAAAAAAATGATTACTTGCAAAATGCATTGCATTATTTAAGAAAAGCACATTTAATTGATTAACTAGTGCTTTGAGATATGCATTTATTTTTTATTTTATGAAACAGGTTCAGAGAAATGTTCATGAAAACCACTAGAAACACTGAAGTACATTAACTGTTCATCTACTTATTTCTACTGTATGCACTGTTGTTGCAACTGCTCTCAGTGTACCAAATCCACAGAAAGAACATGTTGTCCACATACTCTGCAATGCTTTTACATTTCACTGGAACACCTTCCTCCCACTGTACCCAGGTATGTTTTTAAGGGTCTAGGCAGTTTTAGGATCAAAAGTTTGAGTTCTGTAATTTCCAGTTACTTTTGTAAGATGAGTCAGGTGTCCCTATCACACACTGCCCACTTTATTTGCTTTAGAGAAGTAAGCAACAAAATCTCTTCAATTAGTAAGCAACAGTCTCTTATTTTTTTATTTTTTTTAGTTATCTCCTATGATAGATGTATTTAACTGTTGTATATTAGGAAAAGTATGTAAAGTAAAAGCTTTCAAAATATTAACTACATGACACTTCTTAATGTTACTTGACTGAAGTATTTATAGAAGACAGAAATTTATTGTTGAAATATGACTAGCAATGAGGTTCTAAATACATGCTTGAGTCTTTCATGTCTTTCTCAAAATGAAATTTCCTTCCCCAAACAGTCCCAAAACTCTGTCTGTAGCTGCTATTACTTCCTAGAAAACCTTTAATCAGAAATTTAGAAGCCCAACATAATTCAGAACATCTAGGAAACAGTTATTTTCATGCAAAAATAGTAAGATTTTTCAAGAAATTACTGGGACTTACAACTTATTTTCTAAATTTACAATTGTGGACATACAATATTTATTTTCAACACTTTAGAAGTGAACAAAATTGGAATTACAGCTTAAGTATCTATTACAAGTTCTGAGCACACAAATAGTCTAGTGAACAGCACTTTTGGATGGACTTGAATCCCTCCTAAAGCTGGCCACTAGCATCCTTCTTCGGAAATTAACTCTGAAAGGGTTTCGTTAGATATTTACTAGATAACCCTTCCATAAGGCATTCAAGGTAGAGCCCTCATCTCAGCTCCATTTGTTAGTTCCCTATGAACATGTATTTTCTGTTCTCCCTGCAGGACATGCAGAGGAGGACCTGCCGAGGCCGAGTCAGGCTGTGTGCCCTGCAGGGAGAGCAATGCAGGAAGTCAAGCTCTCCAAGAATATTGCCAGCTGTTTGGACCACACAGAGCTTATACAGTTGTTCTCCAAGGAGAGATTCATTATAAGGGTACAACTTTCTTTATGCTGTGAAGTAAATTGCATTAGTGCAATTTAGAGGTACGTAATGTATGGCACCATGTGCTGTTTACCCCTTTTCAAGGTGCACGTTCAAGGTGGTATAATCTGTGGTACGTAAGCCAAGTACCTTAATCTCTTTCATTAGAGTTCTCTGTTTACCACAGAAAGTATATCAAAGTACAGACAATGACATTTATATTTGGAACAAAGTAAAATTAGGAGTTATTGTATTGTACCTGACTTTGGGATGTAATTGCAGCAGATTTTTATATTTCACATAATTTATGTGTTTCTTTGTACATAAAACTGAAATTTAATTACTCAATTGAAATTTTTCAGTTCCAAATTTCCAATGATTCTGTCTTCATTATCTTTTAAATTTGTAAACTAAAGAGAAAATAATTATTTTTAGAATTATGTAAATCTTCATGCACCACTATATGGCAAAGACAGAATTAGTTATGTTCTCCTCAACAGTAACTAACTCTAAGTCACTTCACATACATTTTGGCTAAAGTTTCCATTTGCATTAACTGACACTTGCAACAAACTTTAACAAATGTCTACAACAAATCTGAATAAATTATAAGTTATGTAATGTTTTTCACAAAAGGAACTCAGAATATCTAACAACTGTATATGTCACTGTAATTTATTGCAAGAGACAAGGAGCTGCTGCCCAAGTGAAGAG